CTTTAATTTGTGGCTTGGTGAATGGTGTCGGGAGCAAGGATTTGGCTTTATTTCTCATGGTAGCTCTGTTTGGAATGGAGATAAGCCGTACAAAAAAGATGGTTTGCATCTTTCTCAAAAGGGAACAAATGTTCTCAGTGAGCAGTTCAGAGGTTTTGCTAGGATGTATTTAAACTAGGAGGGGGGGGGGGCAAAAGGGTGATAAAACATCAATCCAATTGTCCCCCAAAACAAGGACAGAAGGTGACTGTAGCAAGTGTGTTAAAATGATAAGCTTAGAGTCATGTCTACAAATGCTCGCAGTTTAGGGAATAAGATCCATGAACTTGTGGCAATAATGGCAACTGATAGTGTAGATTTAGTTGCTGTTACTGAGACATGGTATAATGAGAAAAATGACTGGGACATAGCAATACCAGGGTACTCTTTATATAGAAAAGATAGGGAAGGCAAGAAAGGGGGAGGGGTGGCCTTGTATGTGAAGGATAACATAAAATCTAGCCAAATGAAAGTTAGTGAGGCAAACATAGAGTCCATTTGGGTTACGTTAGAATTTGGTAATCACACAGTAACTCGTGTAGGTGTGATTTATAGGCCCCCAGGACAAATTGAAGAGTTGGATAATCTACTAGTTGAGGAAATAGCTAAAATGACAATGAAGGGGGAAGTTATCATCATGGGTGACTTTAATCTTCCTGATGTAAATTGGAAAAAAAAAATAGCTACTTGTGCCAGGAGCACACATATTCTAAACTCCCTACTGGGATTGTCTCTAAAACAAGTTGTTGAGGAGCCAACTCGTGAAGAGGCCATACTAGATTTAGTGTTAACAAATGGAGATTTGGTATCAGATATTACTGTAGGTGAAAGTTTAGGATCCAGTGATCATCAGTCAGTGTGGCTTAATATAAGAACAGTGACTGAGTCACACCACACAAAAACAAAAGTTTTAGACTTTAGAAAAGCAGACTTTTCTAAAATTAGAATATAGGTAGAGGAGTCATTATCAGACTGGAGCAATTTAAATGGAGTCCAAAAATGGGATTACTTTAAAAGTTGTGACCTATTGGTTAGGGATCGAAATGGACATCGGTTTTAACGATATATCGTTTATTCGAGCCCCGGCAATATCGGTATCGGCTAATTCAGATACCGATATTGCCGATAATACCTCCTAGGACCGCCAGGCTCATTACAAGCCCGGCGGTCCTGGGGGGTGGGGGCAGAGAGCAAGCGATTACTCACCTCCCAGCAGCTCCTCCAGCTCCCCAGTGTAACTCTCGCGAGACCCGCGGCCGTCAGAGCGTTGCCATGGCAGCGAGAGTTGCATTGGGGAGCTGGAGGAGCTGCTGGGAGGTGAGTAATCGCTTGCTCTCTGCCCCCCCCCGCAGCTCAGCCAATACCACTGGACCACAAGGGACTGCTATATCCCCCCTCCCTGGCCAGGTAACAAGCAGGGAGGGGGGGGACAACAAAAATAAATAATAATTAATTAAATATAAAAATAATAATAATAATTTAATAAAAAATGCCCCCTCACACACTCCATTATATACACATACACTACACAAACACACTGTGTATATAATGCAGTGTGTGTGTTTGTAAAGTGTGTGTGTGTTTGTATACAATGCACACAAATACACTGCATTATATACACATTATACAAACACACACTGCATTATATACACACACTATACAAACACACTGTGTATATAATGCAGTGTGTGTGTTTGTATTGTGTGTGTGTGTGTTTGTATACAATGCACACAAATACACTGCATTATATACACACACTATACAAACACACTGCATTATATACACAGTGTGTTTGTATAGTGTGTGTATATAATGCAGTGTGTGTTTGTATAATGTGTATATAATGCAGTGTATTTGTGTGCATTGTATACAAACACACACACTTTACAAACACACACACTGCATTATATACACACACTATACAAACACACACACACACTGCATTATATACACACACAGTGTGTTTGCATAGTGTGTGTATATAATGCAGTGTGTTTGCGTAGTGTGTTTATATAATGCACACTACACAAACACACTGCATTATATATACACACACACACACTGCATTATATACACACACAGTGTGTTTGCATAGTGTGTGTATATAATGCAGTGTGTTTGCGTAGTGTGTTTATATAATGCACACTACACAAACACACTGCATTATATATACACACACACACACTATACAAACACACACACTACATTCACTATACAGACACTACACAAATACACACACACTCTGCATTCATTATATACACACACACTTTGCATTTAGTATATACAGCATTCACTTTACGCACACTACCCACACACACTACACAAACACTCTGCTTTCATTATATACACACTACACTAATACACACTGCATCCACTACACAAACACACATTGCATCCTCCACACACACTACACAAACACACAATGCATCCACAACACACACTACACAAACACACACTGCATCCTCTACACACACTACACAAACACACACAGCTCCCCTGTCACACTGCATCCACTACACGTGGCATGTATATTTTGTGCATTTACCTTTAGAAATAGTTTTTATTTTCCAAAATGGTAAATGTACAGAATATCGGCAAATTATATCGGCTATCGGCCTGAAAGTTCACAGAATATCGGTATCGGTATCGGTATCGGATCTAAAAAATCAATATCGGTCGATCCCTACACAACACCCAGACCACTTTAATGAGCTGAAGTGGTGTGAGTGCCTACAGTGTCCCTTTAAAAATATTTTCTTCCTGGAGACTGCAAATGTCCGTGGGGTAGACCAGCGATTAGAAATACCTGCATCAAGTAACTTCTTTGTAATGGGTTGCATGGATTTCCTCCGTAATGTAGAGCGGGGTAAGTCCTGGAATAACGTCACACAGTGCGTTTTGAAGTAGAGAGATGCTTTCATTAGCGGTTTGTCTGTACAGGACAGACATCTTGAAATAAGGTCCCTTGAGGTAGCTGTAGGTGCCAGGAAGGACTTGGTAATACGGTAGGCCCAATCTAGTAGTATCTGTTTAGCTTGTTAAACAGGCAGCACTGATGCCATTAAGTGACAAAAAAAAATGGGGCAGTTTTTCCTGGAGTGACAGTTCAAAACTCCTGATTTTATTATTTTTCTCCTACTCCGAGTCCACTCTCATGGTAGCGTTGGGAGTGGAAAGCTTGTAGCTGGTGTAAGGTTTCCCTCAGGGTTTACAGGCCCTGTTTAAGGTTGGACACATTATCCTTACTTAAAACCAGGCAGTAACCGTTTACACCAAGGCTATGTTGGCCTTAAATCGTTTCTGGATGTTTTCACATAGGTTTGAGATGTTTTGCTTAGTGGTACGGGCAGCCACTGTAATCTTAGCTGGTGTATCAGAGTTAGTAAGGCCTCTTCTGTTTCACCACTGAAGCGTGTGTGGAGTAAAATCCAATAAAACTATTTTATTTTTTTCCTTGATAATTGTGGAAACATGACTGGCTTGCACAGAGCAAAACCTCAATCCCAAACACTTTTAGGATGAATTCAAGAATCAATTGCAAGCCAGCCCCAATGACCGGACCTCACCGTTTTTGTGGCTCAATGTAAGTAAAACCCAGCAGTGCATAGTCCAATAGGAGAAAAAATTCAAAGATGAAACATACATCTCCTCAATTTCACTCCACCAAACCATTTGAACCATAAGTTGTCAAAAACTGCAGTGCTCCAATACTCAAATCTCTCCTAAACATATATACAATACAAACGTTCAGTGAAAAAAAAAAAGAAAAAAAAAAAAAAAGGAGTAGAGATTTATACAAGAGGAGTGAACTGACTTATGTATCCAAATGACATTTCACAGCATTTCTATAAGGATGTTCAAACCAGCTACAGTTTCTGTAAGATATGAAACTTTCCTAGAAATAGAAGATTGGCAAGTATAATGGTGGTGATATTACTAAACTCAGTTTCCAGGGCATAGAAAAAGGTTTGCTTCCAGTCAGGGATGGGAATATCCAGAACAAACAGGAAAGACAAGCCTTTTTGGATATTTGAACAAGATGGCCACAGAGGCTTAAGGATTGGGACATTAAATCTATTAGACAATAATGTGAATTTTCTCTGCAGTTTTTTTTTATGTATTTGGTTTATACTGAGCAACAGCAGTTTTAGAGGAATTGTATGGCTTTGCTGATTGTATGTACACCACTTTTGATCTAAATATATTTTATTTGCAATTATTTTTATAGATTGTTTACACCTTGCATTTCAAGAGACTTGTTATCTTACAGCATGGTTAAAACATAGCACCCATACCGCTTGATTGAGATGTAGTGGTCTGGGTGCGGATAGTGACCCTTTAATGTTCCCAGCATGGAGCAATCAGCCTGTATTACATTGTTTTAACTGGTGATTTGGGGGAGGAGGGGAGAATTTAGGATTTGTCTTCATTGTTATGCAGTTATAGAAAATATTGCCGATATGTATGAGCACTGTTACATGTTTGTCAATATTTCCATTTTCTGATAATGTGAGATGAAACAAAGTGAAAAGATAAAATAAAATTGTTCCATGGTCAAATCCAGACATCGGTCCTTGCATCATTGCTGCTTTCACCTGGTTTTGTTGTGAGCACAGAACCCAACGATCCGGAAACTCATAGTATACATATGAGGGTTTGTTATTTATGTTGGCTTTTGAGTTTTATGTGAATTATGATGAGACATCCAAGCAGAGGCAGATACACAAAACAAATTTAGAATGACAGAGGACATGGTTTTATATGTTAAAAGTAACAAATGGTATAAAGCACTGACAACCAACCTGGCATGTGTACAAAAGAAGTATTTGTTTTGCTTTTTCTTTACGTATTATAGTTGTGTGAGGAAAGTAAATATCATCCCATTTGTTAGAACTGTATTTATGGAAAAGATTTAATAAAATATGCTAATGAGCAGCTTGTGAACACTAAATTCTAGCTCACCTTCACTTCCTCCTCTTCATCTTCTCCCTCCCAACGATCTCTTACTACCACGGTACCTGCTACAACACTCTTTGGTTTCGGCTCTTCTACCTCAAATTCATCTGCGTCTGGAAGTTCAATAAAGGGAAAATCAAAAATCAATCTTTTTATACGTAAGCCAAACATTTCAAACATTATCTTTCCGAGGAAGGCTGCTGTGCGGAATGGAAGTGAGCACGCAAGGGATCTGTATCTTCCTGTGCTCTGCTCCCTCGCGTGTCCTGCAGTAATGGCGGGAGCAAGGATATGACATCACTCCAGCCAAGGCATCGCTAAACAGTCCGCAAGGGAACAGAGCAAGAAGAGATTTAAGAGTCAAAATGGACCCCAGGGAAAGTATCCAGTCAAGCTCTCACAAAAGGTAGAAAGCCTGGTGAACTTAAATTAAAACAAATCATTTCTGAATGTGTGTGTTTAAGTGACCAACCTCTTCCGATCGCAAGGGAAAGGTATTTTTACTCACTTTTTTCCCTACATGTGCCTGTCTCGCTGTGGCTGACCCCACCTCCACAACTGAGATAATAAGGATTGATTATCTCAGTCAATCCAAATGCTTTACCATAGGAATGCACAGCAAAATATTGCGCTAAGCCAATCCGCATCTTCTCAGAGCTGTATTGAATCAACTAATTTCTACAGGGGAACGTTCAGCTTCTCCTCAAATGTAGGTGCTGCACATTGTTCAGCACTGGACTAGGAAGCACCTCTAGTGGCCGTCTGAGTTACTGCCACTAGAGGTGTTACTAGGCAGCAATGTAAGCACTGCCTTTTCTCTTACAGGGAAATGTCTGCAGGGAGGTGTGACTAGGGCTGTAGAGACAAAGTGATTTAACGCCTAAATGGCAGAGAATTTAGCAGTGAGACTGCAGGGGCGTGATCTATACTCTCCACTACTTCATTAAGCTAAACTTATTTTGGTGCCTATAGAGTCCCTTTAATATTTAAAAAGTACCAACAAATTTAGCAGCACTGTACAATGGATGGACTAAGACAAGTATTTATAACCAGACGAGTGAGACACACAGGAACAGATGGAGTTTAAGGCCTTGCTTAAACGAGCTTGCATTCTATATGCCAACAGCATAGTGCTAGAATCTATGCAGCCAACAGGATGTTCTCCTACTCAACAATATAGAGAAATACCCCTAGTAAGTGCAACTCCTGCTTGCTGAGGGAATATAGGAGCAGAGGGAAAAATGTCCATCTGCTATGGTAATGAACCCAGACTGTGAGCTTCATAGTGAAGGGTTGCCTTGCTTGGGGAATTGTCCCCAAGCATAATCAAAGATGAGATTGTTGGAGTAATGCAGGACCAGCAGGTAGGTGTAACAGCAGCATAGCATCCATGGACCTCCAATCATGGTGTTGCTGGCATGATGGAAATGAGATCATAAGGACCTCTTGTGTAGCCAAGTAGACACTTATCACCTATCGAGATGACATAGACCTCTAAAGCATTTCATTATGGATAATCTGCCAAAGGTGGAGCAGGAGCCTCTAGGGGCAAGTTAATTATTTAGTCCAACGTGAGGGGCCCAATGATAAAAATGGCCCTTCAAAGACAAATAGGTTATTTGAAGTAACACTGGCCCTTGTGTCCTCCCAGGGTTATGAGATTGAGAACTGTTTGACAACTAACCTGAGGTACGCCGGGAACCTTCTAGATGGTGCAGTGATGCAGGC